ATATATATATATATAAAATAAAAAAAAAGTCGGGTAACATTTGATGTTTAGATGAGTGCAGTTAAACTTGGTCAGTAAGTAATCTTACCTTATCTCAAAAGGAGATTTTACTACCTGGTTTATTGTATTAAAACTGTTAAGTTCAAGGTTACCTCAACTTGTTTAAAGATTTTTTTTGTGGAGTTGTACTGTATATTTGCATAACTATGTCAAACTCTTATTTTATTTAAAATCATTTAACATGTACCATGTACATGTCATTTTACTATATTTCAGTGCATCATGCTTGTAACAGGCATTTCATTTATAATGAGGATGAATGATTAATTCTGGAGCGCTTCAGTAACTTACCTACTATTCCTAAATTGGCATAATGTTAGGTATCTACTTCAAAACCACCTTTTAACTTCTGTAAAAATGCCTTAACTACCCTAACTTGACCAAAATGCTATTTTGGTGGAGTGTGGGGAGGATGATGTTAACAAAGAAAAATCCTTATTTTGTGATAAATGAAACAGCACGTGGCAGACACCTTTGCACAATCTGTCCAGTCCCTTTTTATTTTTAAAAACTGAACAAGCTGTACTCAGCTGTTTCTTGTTGGAAGGAATGTATTCATGCTGCAGTATAGGGCTTCACTTCTCACACCTGCAGGAGAGGCTTCTCTCTCAATCCTGGGTATCTTCTGCTTTTAGTTCTCCAGTATTTACTGTCACAATTCCTTATTAGAGCAGACTTGATCAACTACTCTTTCCCTATTCTTGAACCTCCATGTCCCTATAGAGTTGAACTGTTTCCCACTCCTCCCCTCAAGTTTACAGCCCTGCCCAGCCCTCCCTGTCACTACCAATTAGAAGGGGTGTATGTGGATCAGATAAGTGAGTATGGCAAAGGTGCTTTCCCCTGAGCTCAGACACTGCATGCACTGTGCTCTGCCTCTACTGATCGGGGGTCTGGAATCCTAGGTCGTAGAAATTCAGCCTTCCTGTCTGTAGTTAAACTGCGCCACCTGGCGGGTCTGATCCGAAAACCTGTTCTTTGCATTCATTCACTTCTTAGCTGAGCAGTAAATAGAAAGCCATCTGCCCAGTATTGCATCATGATCTTTAACAAAGAACAAATTTCGATTTTTAATTTACAAATCATAGATTTATCCCTCACTGGACACACCAAAGACCAGTAAAGCTTATAGATTTTTCCATCTGTTTATAAAGCAATACTGTATTATAAAGAATTTAATATTTTTATCACATGCTTGAGAATTTTGGGTTTTTTTCTGTTTGAAGATGTGCACTCGGAACATATCAGAACCTGATTTCTTCCTATGAACTTAAGCTGTCTGCGCACAACCAATATTTGGAAAATAAAAACGACAGGGCCCATGTACTCAAAGTGACATTACAATGATGCCTGAAGTTGCAACACTTCCTAGGAGTTAGATTGTGGTGATTAGTCTCAAGGGACATGCAGAAGGGATGCTCCTAGGTGTGTTTGTTCTGATTTGGAAATGTTGGATGGTGAATGAGCTGACTGCCAGCTGCAGGAGGGGACTTTGCTTTTATCAAGAATTGCTTGGTGGGGAAGAATTATCTAAACAGAATGAAACATTTTTGTATAGTAGTAATCCATCTTACCAAGTCATGTAAGAGCGGCTGCAGGACTTTGCTATAACTATGTGTGTAGGTGAGAAGGGCTAGGATATAACAGTACACAGTTATATACCTATGGGGGGCTTGAAAAGTCTGGTTTCTTGCCACTCTTTCATAGCTGTCTTAGGGAGAACTGCAACATCCAGGTTCCCTTGAGATTTGCTCTTTGCGTTTTTAAAGAAGTGATGGCTATTGGGGACCATATTGAATGATAAAAAACCATCTGGAGGGGGCAGGGGTGTAAAAATGTAGCAAAGAAACAACAAGTATTTTGCTAATGGGTAATGGTTTTTTTTTCCTTAATGGAAAACCAGATTGTACATGTAGAAATTGACTGTGTGGAGTAGTTTCTGACAAAGATAGCTGAAATAATGAAGCAAATCTGAGTCTGTATCTAATGAGGATGCTTTTGCTAAATGAGACTATCATTACCTTTGCTTACTTAAGAGGCAATTATGTGAATTGGATGTCTGAAGAATAACTTATGCAGGAATAGTTCTGTAAATACATTTAAATGAACTGTAAAAAAATATTTAATAAATATAGTATTTATACTAAAACGTGTGCTTTTTAAAGTAACAGTTGCAAGAAAAAAATCCACTTAAACTGGTCACTGGACTTTTGTCTAAGACCCAGCTGGGCAAAGCCTTGGCTGGGGTGATGTAGTTGGAACTGGTTCTGCTCTGAGTAGGGGGCTCGACTAGATGTGACCTTCTGAGGTCCCTTCCAACCTGAATTTTTTTTGGTTCTATGACTGAGCCCCAAGGTCTGTGCTTATGTTGTTTGGCTTTCCCTAGCTCTGTTACCCTGAATGTATTTAGTATAAGGAAAAATATAAGGAAATGAGTCTTCAGCAGTCCAAGAGCCAAGAGAAGTGATGGACACCTGAGAATATAGTGTGCAATGCAAAGCAATGTTTAATAGGAAAGTCAAAGAATGTCTTGCTGGGGTGATTGACACCACAACTGTGGAATTGTACTTCAGTGAGAAATTCTAGTCTCTCTTCCCTTTTCTTGACATAGGTGTGGACTGCTCACTAACAAACCATTTGGCAGGCCAAAATCCAACTGTTAAAACAACTGTGTTCCATGTCTTGGGGTCTGTACATCCCAAAATAATTTTCCTAAGTCCTACAGTACAACAAGCTGCTGCACTCCAACCTCAAACCTAGATGTAAAGGACCTTGTCCGTAACTTCCAAGGGACACTTGACCTAACTCTTGTAACAAGATGCAAATCTGCCTGACAGACTGAAGCACTGATACTTCACAAAAATGTCCATCAAAGTGCTATGCAACAACAGTTTTCATGGAACTTCTCTGGCACTAATTGAAGATGTCTGCTGCTCAGGTACTGCCCATATGCCTGCCTAGTATCAATGTACAAATCCAACTAATCTATTATCCTGCTGTCTTGAAAAGAGAGTTGTGTGCTCATTCTCCTGCAGAGAATTTTTTCTTACTAAAAGGATGATAGGTCTGGTGAGGTGGCTGTTTTGAGTGAGGCTGCTGAAAGTAACTAGCTGTTACCACGCTAGAACAGCCAGACTCCTGGTTTGTGTTGAGAGAATGGGGAGGCCACCATTTCAAAACAGAAGAACCATCTCCTACCTGACTGCATCACACTTGCTCTCATACAGTATGTGTTAAAACTGTAGTTTACAGGTCGTGATCCAATTAAATGCCAGTCTTGCAAAGTTAAAAGGCTGCTTTGTCTAATGTCTGGCCTTGCCAAGAGAGTTTCATATGAATAGTCAGAAGTGGTGGACAGTAGCTGGAAGCTCTTGCATACTAACCCCTGTCTGTTCTAGAGCAGGTGGGTATTCTGTAGCTACAGTCTAAGATTCTTAACCGTCAAGCTTTGCCAGTGCTGAGCCCATGAAAAATGCTCTTCAACTACATCTTATACAATGTCTGACACAACATTATTTACAAATGGTAAAAAACACTCGTGTTAAACCTATGGAAGTTTGTCGTACCTCTAAACTTTCATTAACATTAACAGTTGAATTAGATATTGACTTGCATGCGTTTAACCTGTAAATACAGTAGGAAATTCAACAATTCTGAAAAGCCATTAAATAGGGTCCTGGCCAGTGCAGTTTCTTTGTGCTTTTTGCAAGTGGGGGCATATGCACAACTGAACTAGCTGGGACTGTTGTTGTGAGAGCTGGAAGTTTTAGCCTTCTGGAAAGTGAATTTTGGCCTAAACCTAGTGAATTCAGCAACAACTGTTTCTATTCACGGTTTTAATTTGTCATTTAAATATAGTGGTGAAATTTCCATCAGGGAGGTGCACATTCTTTCTAAAAAAATACAACTCTGCAACAACTTGTTCTAAAACCATTTCTAAAGACCACATAAGCATCTAAGTAAAGGCTCTGTAGGAACTTCCTCACTGGATGACTGGAGAGAGCTGCCTGTTGTCAAAATCCTCTTCAGTGTCACTAGCTGTTGCCAAACTATGGAACGTGTGGCTGTTGACATCTGGATTGTTAAGTGACACTGCTCCAAAGAACAGGGAATGAAACTGGAAAACGCAACATTTAGAAATGTGAGGGTGTACATGTGATATGTTCCAGGGATTTTACTTCTGCAGTCTTTCTAAGAACACTTCAAATCTCTTTTGGCCTTACAGCAAGATCTAAAACACATTTGACATCTATGCTTCCTTCCAGAAACGTGGTTACATTCCAGAATATGATAACGTGTCAGTTGCAGACTAACAGCAACCATTGTAATTCAGTATTTCAAAGCAATTTTTTAGAGGCTGTGACAGCAGTTGAGAGCATACTTGAGTTCATGCTCGGGTTTGCATTTAAAAGGGGAATGATGTGTGGTTAGCTCCTAATTACTACAAGATTTATTAATGCTAGTTCGGGAAAACACCAGCTATGCTTATGTACAGCTGTGGTCTGCACAGTGTGTCCTGCATATTCTCAGCCACTCATTCAACATAGGCTACGTTGAATGGAAGAAGGCCTGGGCAGATAGTGCTACCTCAATCTTTCTAGAAATAAGTTAAATGGAGCAGTTGATTCTACTGCCAGAGGAGTAGGGAGAAAATGTTAAACTACTCCCACTCTTCCAGAAGATGGAAGGAGTAGCTCATGCCGTTAGCAAGACAGTCTGTCATTTCTAGTACACTACTAAGGTTCTTGAATTTATTACTCTATCACATTACTCTGGCTGGTAGTGATGACTGTGAATATTCCTCTTACAAATCAAGCTCTGCTTAAAGCAACTTACCTGCGTTATGAAAGTCTGCTTTTTCAGGGGATTTCATCTAACAGGGTTGGCCCCACTGATTTGAACAGGTTCCTAATGTAGCTGAGCTAAATTGTATGGTCAAATCTGTAAAGCAGCAGCCAACACAAAGCCCTACTAAATACCTATAGACTTGGGCCCTTCTAGGTAGTCATCCAAGGAAGTTTGCAACAGAACTGCAATTTTAAATAAGCTTCGCAACTCAGTTTTCTTGAAGTCATTAAGTGAACTGAGCATTCACTATATGGGGGATGTTTCCTTTATTTTTGCAACTTTTAACTTTCATTCTGCCCTGAACTGCTTGATTCATCTCAGTCATGGAGCAAGGGAGTCCATGATTCAGCAGAGCTTATAGCTTATTTTTCTGCCCAAGGTATTATGGAATTCAACATCTCTACTACAGAATTTGCCATTTTGCTTAAGTTTATTTTTTGGCCTCTTGTTCTCCCTCTGCTTTGCCAGGACCTGCTTCTGTTGTCTCTAGCCTTAGCTTTCCTCAAAAGGGGGAGCTAATTGGATTACAGTGCTTGTTCTTTCTGTAGTTCCAGAGGGACAGGTATCAGCAAGGCAGAGAATCAGGAATGGAGTTCAGTTTGCAGGCAGGGATGAGAGGGGGGAGCTGGGCTACTTGTGGAACTGATTGCTACAACCTCCTCCCTTCCCAGGCCTCCTGGACAACACTGTTAAGTGCTTGGGGACTGTTTGAGGAGTGGCAGCAGTTGATAAAAGTTCAAATACTTCTGTCAATTAGTATGTTCAATTATAAGCCACAGGTAAGTGTGAGGGGAAGGAAGAACACGTGTTGCATGTACTGCATTAAAACAGTGGTTCTGCAAAGTACAAGGGGTCTTTTCTACAGTGAGCCCTGAAACAGCACTCTGTTACAAATTTAATGCTAAAATGTGGGGACTGGGGTTGCACATAGCATGCAACTACTAGCTGTTTAAGAATATCATTTCTCTTCCTATCTGGGATAAACCAATTTTTTTGTTGGGTTTTGGCTTACAGCATATGTATGATTTGGCATTCTCCTTACCTTGTGATGATCAGAATCTGTTGGCACTAGTGCTTCCACCATTGTGCTGTCACCTGCTGCATCTCTCCTTGATGGAAAGTTTG